CCGCCGTCTCCCTGAACGACCGAATCACGATTTGGAATTCTTCGGAGGGTGTTGCTTTGGGCCATCTTGGGCTGCCATGGGGCTTTCTGAGGGCCATATTGGACCCCTGTTGTGCCGTTTTGGGGTTCTCTTGAATTGCCTGGAAGCCCTTTCGGATGGTTGTGGGGCGATTTGGGAGCCTCCCAGGCGGCTTCGGACGCCCGGAAGACAGCCATCTTGGAGCGTCGGGAAGCCGAAAAGAGGAGAACCCCAACATTCACCCAAAACCAACCGAAAATCCATGATTTGGGCCTCGGGGGACCTTCTTGGGAGTGCTCTTGGAGGCCTCTTTGGGGCCGTCCTGGAGGTCTCTTGGGTCATCATGAGGTCACGTCGGTGACTCTTGGAACGCTCTTGTGCTTTCTTGGGGGTCTCTGGGACGTCTCCGATGACCCCCTGATCGCCGTAAGTGTGCTGGGAAGGCTTGGCAAAACGCTTTGCGAGGCCCAGTGGCCGCTTCGAGGCCCGTCCGGAGGGCCCCAAAGCCCCAGGTCCCGGGAGTCCGGTTTTTTTGGGGGGGTGATGGGTTTTCTCCCCGCCCAGGCTTATAAAACTATAGGAAGAGGAATCTATATATATATATATATATATATATATATATATATATATACCCGTGCACGAGGCCGGGGCGCCCGGGGCGGCGACCTCGACGGCGCATTGGGGGACTAGGGCCTCTGGGGCCCCCCCCGACACAGCTCCAGACAGCCCCGAAACGCTACCCGACGGTCCAAGGAGGTCTCCACTCGTCCGTTGGCCCAGAATCCCCGAATTGTCGCTCCAAGACGCCGAACGTGGCTCCAAGAGGGCCTCCGGGAACCCCACGACGGCCCAAGAGTGCCCCAAGAGGACTGTCAAGAGCGCCTCCAGAAGCCAAACTGGCCCCATTCCCTCCGGAATCAGTATTTTTTACATTATTCACATCTTCGGCGTCGACCGCGTCGAAAACGGCCCCAGGAGCCCACAACATCGCCCCAAGACGGCCAAAGAGAGTTCCAAGAGGCCTCCAAGACTGCTCCAGAGGAGCCCTCGACTATCCAGGAGGCTCCCAAAACGGTCCCAGAGGGCCCCGGGGGGCCTCTGGGGTCCCCCGAGACAGCCCCAGACAGCCCCGAAACGCCACCCGAGAGTCCCAGGAGGACTCCAAAAGTCCAAGAGGGCCCAGAGTCCCCGAATTGTCGCTCCAGGACGCCGAAGATTGCTCCAAGAGGGCCTCCGGGAACCACCCACGACGGCCCAAGAGTGCCCCAGGAGGACTCCCAAGAGCGCCTCCAGAAGCAAAACTGGCCCCATTACCTCCGGAAACGGTATTTCTTACGAGATTCACCGCTGCGGCGTCGACCGCGTCGAAGACGGCCCCAGGATCCGACAAGATCGCCCCAAGATGGCCAAGGAGAGTTCCAAGAGGCTTAAGACGGTTCAAGATGGGCCCTCGACTGTCCAGGGGGCCCCCAAGACGGGCCCTGAGGGCCCTGGGACAGCCTCCCCACACAGCCCCGAGGGGTACCCCTCCCGACATTTCGAGCAAAGCGCCCCGGAGACCCCAAGAAACCTCCAAGAGCCCCCGAAAGAAAAACCTAAGCGGGCCCCAAAGGGCCGCCAGGAAGCCCCAAGAGGTTCCCAAGAGCCCTTCTCCCCAGACGCCCTGAGGTACTCTGGCCGATCCCGAAGCTTCCGGACAGCCCTCGGCATCCTGACGCACCCGACGGGCCCCGGGACCGTCAAACATTTAGGACGAATCTCCAGGCCTATGGAAGTTGTCCGCATCTCGGGGCCACCAGGGACCCCGCATTGAAAAAAATACGATGCCGGAAGTGTTGGTCAGGATGACAAGCCAGTCCCGTGGAAGGGGCCAGATTTCCAGGAGCCGACGTATAGCGAAACAATCACGGCGCCAGAAGACCAGGCACCTCCCTCTTGTCACCCTTCCCCTGCGACCCCCTCGCGTCATCAAAGGATCACGACGGGAGGTTTGCGGCCGTTTGCGGCCACTGGTGGCCGTCGGCCGGCCCCGGGATCATCAAACAAAAATGGATGCAAAACCGGTCCCGGGGAAGGCGTCCCGACTTGCGGGAGCCGTTGTAGCAAACATTTCTCTTTTTAAACAAAAAACTACGTCGGGTGATCGGGCATCCCACCCTCCTGTTTCCCTCCCTCCCCCCAGACCTTTCCCGTCGTGAGAAAATCACGACGAGAGGTTCTCGGCCGTTTTCGGCTTCCGTTTTCGTCGTCGTCGTCGTGGTCGACGTCGTGGTCGTCGTCGTCGCCGTCGTCGCCGTCGCAGCCGTTGTCGCCGTCGCCGTCGCGGACCAATCCGTCGAGGACCGGGGTTCAAAGAAGTTTTTGATTGCTTTCAGCCTCCCGTCCCTGGGCCCCAGATCCGCGGAGGCTCCAGGACAACAAAAACTGCACAACAGACCCCCGAAGGGGTCCACAGACGCATCTGGAGCAGATGTTTATGTGTGACCGCCGAGGTCGTCGTCGGCGTCGGCGTCGTCGGCGCCGGTGCGTCGGAATTCTGGGCGGTGACCGCGGCCACATGCTGCCCTGACTCGGCCCACGCGTTGGCGGGAACAAAACAAGGACAAAGAGGAGGAGCATGGAGAGGCGAAGGTGGAGGAGGTGGAGGCGCAGAGGAGGGGCAGAGGAGGGAAGAAGAGGAGGACGAGGAGGAAGGGGAGGAGGAGGAGGAGGAGGAGGAGGAGGAGGAGGAGGACAGCTCCAGACCGAATCACTGTGTGGACGACGTCGTCGTCGTCGTGGTGGCGGTCGTCGTCGTTGTGATCGTCGTCGTCGTCATCGTTGTCGTCGCATTCGCCGTCATTCGTCGCCGCCCCCATCGTCGTCGTCGTCGTCGATGATCACACGAGCGAAAAACGAGAGCAGCAAAACGTGGCGCAGCCGAAAGAATATGCACTGGCGCACAATCACCACCAGGTGAAACATTGTGATTTTGGAGGGGCACCACAGCCCAAGGCGCTCCCAAACATTCTCACGACAACCCCGACATACCCCGTGCAGCACGTGCAGCGCAGTGGGCGGCGGACCGTCTCCCCATCATCCCACCATCGTAAGGGGGATGCGAAGTCCCTGGCTTTTGGACGGAGTGGCCACTGGTTGGCACCGTAGGCTGGCCCACTACCAAAAAAAAACATCATAGCCTTCTACGCCAGTACACAAGCGTGATTCACTGACGGATCCAATGCATCTTCCATTCGCTGACATCAGACGCATGCGAAGCAGCATGCTCCCCCCGCCGACGGCCAGGAGAGCGCCAGGACAGCCCCCCAGGCATTCCCCAGACGGACAATAGAGTCGCACATTTCGAGCCGTTCCCCCGGCGTTGGCCCCAGAGACAGCCAGCAAGCGCGCAAGGGGCATTCGAGATCCCCGAGGCTGCGAAGACGCTCCGAAGAAACAACACCGACGTTTCCGCCAGAACCCGTCGAGAGACCCCCTCCTTTTTCGCACCCTCCCGCCTCTTGCGTTCTCGCTGATCTCTCTTCAGGGTCGGCGGAACCGGCCGTAAGGCCGTCGTGATATTTACTTATTGATAATATGGATTGTTGATGTGTGGGGGCTGTTTTGGACGCTCTAGCCTCGATGTTGGGTGCGTTCCCCATGAAACGGCGTTTCCGCTCGAGCGCAGGCTTGCTTCCCAATCCCAGTTGTTTAATCCCCAGATACGACGACAACAAATACCGCTCCACACTTCCTCACCATTTATTTTTGGTAAACTAAGGGTTCAGGAATGGCGGCGCTCTCGATCGACATTTCTTCGCAATTCAAATCGACGACTACGGCTCCCGTTCGATAAGTCCTCGCGGTGTATTCCGAGGCGCCGTGATCAGAACACGCCGCCGCTCGCAGGAATGGCGCTTTCGCATGAGACTTCCTCGCAATCCACTTGGGTTGGTGAGGGTCCGGCTACGACGACAAGCGCTGCCGCTGACGACGACGACAAGCGCGCCCTGGTCAGATGCGCCCGCTGCGCTAAGTTCTCCCATGTTACTCAGGTTGGTAATGACTCGACCCAACTACGCCGACAACGGTTCCCGTTCGATATTTCTTCGCCGTTTATTCCGAGGCACCTTGGGCAGAGGCCTTTGCTGTCAGGTGTGGCGCCCTCGCCCGATGCTTCCTCGCAGTTTAGTTGAATTGGAAGGCCCAACTTCGACGACAGCGGTTCCGTTCGATCCTTGTTTGCATGGTACTCTGAGGCGCCTTGGCCAACGTGGCCCCCCAACTTCTGAACAGCACTCTCGCCCCAGCTAAGACAACAAAGGCCCCCTTTCGATACTTGCCCACACTTTACTCTGAGGTCCTGGAGGCCCCAGAACTCAGGAACGACGTTCCCTCCCGAGACTTCACCGCAGTTCGTTCAAATTAGCACGTTGGTCGCAATCACGAGAGCTCACATGACGGTGGCCATGGTGGCGCGTTGCGCACACGGAGTGTTTTGCTGAATGTTTCTTCCATGAGTTAGTATGACAAGACGCCCCGCGAGGACGGGATCGGTTCATAAACTCAGCGGGCGGATACAAGAGGAGGGAGAGATATCCGAATTCCCATCAGCTTGTTCGGTCACATGGTTGTGCGATACTGGTCGTTGCTGTCGTCGACATCGTCATAGCAGGCATCAACGCCTTCGTCGTCGCAGGTCTAAACGTTATGTATGTGTTTTGCCTCCTGGACTGCCATATGAGGAGTCGGTGTGAATTTTAAGTTGTTTTCCGCCCCTTTGGTTGCCTTGCCGTAGATAGGACTGATATTGTTCTTCAGGAGTTGCATATGATTCCCCAGGAGGCCGAAACCAAGGGGATCTGAACGGGATTACGTAGCGACGTGATATCGATTTTATGTGGCACAGTTATGACCCCATGCCTTCATGTTCACCTTCTCGCATTTGCACGGAACGCGTACAGGTACCGACGATACCTGGCGTCGATCATTTCGACCCCGTCATGGTGCGCAACCTCATGAGAGAAAGGAGCCAGGGGAGTGCATTGGCAAGGGTGCTTTCTTGGCGTACATAACACGCACTGACCGTTGGCCAGCCCGCAGTCATATCCATGGTGCAACACTGGGCCGGCTTCGCAGAGGACCATGCGCCTCCGCCCTCCCCCTCGCGCCAGTGCGCTAATGATTACCCCACACGCCCTGCCTGCATACCGTGCTGGTTTCTCTTCCGACTTCAACTCCTTGTCTCCCCTCCCGGCCCTTCACATCAGGAAAATGCAACACGTCCGTCCTCCCGTATTTGGGACTTTGCTTCCAGACTCCCGTGCGTTCGGCGCTGATAGCAGGAGGAGATAGGGAGGAGTTGGCAGACGGGAGCAGGGGAGGGAGAGGGGGGAGGTAGGGGGGCGAAGGCAGGGGGAGGGAGACAGAAGCCCCTCCGGGGCTCCACCCATTCCCTTTTGGCCCGCTGGATTCCCTGGATCGTCATGGTGGCTGGAGGACTTGGAGGAAGGTTAGCACGGGCGTCCGCGGTGTGGTCGGTCCGGCTGCTTCGCAGTCGGCTGTATTCGGTCGGGTTAGTTCGGTCGGTTGTTTCGCCGTTGCGTCTTTGCAGACCGCTCTCGACGCATCGGTTTTGGTCGGTTTCGGATTTTCCGGCATCGGGGACAGGGAAGGAGCGAGGGAGTAAGGAGTGCGCGCTTGTCGAAAGAAGCCCATGCCTTGCAGAACGGCTCGGCTTGCAGACCTGGCCCGGTTCTACGCTTTGGCTTGCGTGAGCCGATAGCACATCGATTTCGAGGGGGCCGTCAGTCGTACAGCGATGCTTTTACTTGGCCCTGCCCGTCGCTTGGCCCATCGCAGCAGTGACGTGCGACATGTCAACCACCTGGCGGGGAGCCACGCTCACAACTAGCACGAAAAGAGGAACATGCCACTGCGCCCCATAATTATATATGTGCAATCAAATTGCCGGTCTATGGCTAGTCGGATTGGGCCATGCATGCTTGGGGCGGGGGTCTTGGACGTTCTATGTTTTTGTTTCGCCTCCTTTCAGCAAGCAGCGGGCGATCGCCGTCATCTTGCCAACTGCCGATAGGAGTCAGATATGCTCCGAAGGATAATATGTGCATTGCTTGAGTTGCAGATCTACGAACTTTCTAGAGAGGGAGTGTAGTTCCCAGTTTGGGGGTGACGTGTTTCTTCCAGGGGAGCCTGGCTCTCTCAGCGAGATGTGAAGATAAATGCCTTTGAGCTTGCGATACTGTTCATGTCCCGGATCCGTGGGCCCTCGTGACTTCTCTTGGAAGTCGGAATTGAAGTACGCAGTCAATTCCCCGATTCCAGCTACAATATTTGAGCAGAGATTTGGCCAGAACTCGAGCTGAGACGGAATCGATTGCCGTGGGGTTCATAGCGTTCACTGGAGTTCGGTTGTTTTGGTTGTCGGAGATTGAATTGCCGAATCCCAGGTCTCAGTGTTTGTTTGCTGGTCAAGTTTCCATGGTCCAGCGCTTGAATCGGGTGCGTGAGTTTCCATGATAACCTCCAAGACGCCGCTCTTAGTCCACGTGCGAACTCTTGTCGGTACACCCAATCACGTCTGAGATGAACACCTGCACTGTACTGACGTGACGAAGGCCGTCTCGAAGCCGCTTACCCTCGAAATGAGTGACTCATCTGTGCCAATCCTTGTGAGGAGAGCCAGGTTCGAGAAGCCAGCGCATCAATCTCTCCTGCACATCCTCGAGGTAGGCTCACATTGTAGGACATGATTAGTGGTGCCTTCGATTCGCTTGTCACCGTCCGAAGGAAGTGCGTCCTCATAGACCTCAGAGGTGTTTGCTTCCCTCTCGCTTCCATCTTTCGTTGCTGGGATTGTTCCGCTTGAAGGAATACGTAGCGGTCACGCCTCGGCTCGCATAGGGGCGATCCTTGCCCATCATATATCGACGCCGGGGCGGGTTTGGGGGAGGTCACAACACCTTCACACCAGGACCACACATATCAGGAGGGCGCGTACTGGAAGTATACCATGCAGCCGCAAGCAATCATAACAATTTCCACATGCATTTTGCGATGGTTGATTTCACAGAAGAGGTCTGGTACGTACGCAGATGACCTCTATTTTGATTTGGTTCCAGCCCTCGTGCTGCAGACGCGATCAGCTAGTTTGAACAGATTAGAGATTCAGGACCGTGCTTTCAGGACGAGTTGCTCATTTGTCATCGGTCGCTTTTCTCGCGCTGCTGGGATGGCGGGATGGCGGACGTGGAGCAGCAGAGGGGGAATGTTTAGGACGAGAAACACGGGGGAGAGGGAGGGAGAGAGAAAGAAGGATGAGGCTGAGGGGGAGGAGGAGGAGGTAGGGCGGTTGAGTGTGACATGTCTCGTATTCGACCACGGGCAGATCGCGGCACCATGCGGCACGGGCATCACGTTCGTTCAGCAGAAACCTTTTGCCGGGAGCGCATTGAGCCAATCTTCGGCGGGCTACAGGGGGGGGGGGCGATTTGGTACGCTCGCTCGTCGTGCGCCGCGCGGCGCAAACATTGCACCAGGCATTCCCCCTCGCCGACTAGAGGTCATGGCTGGCACGCCCAGAGGTGACCCCTGGACCCCCAGAAATGCACAGCCACCGTGTCGCACCTCCGAGCTTTCAAGGCGAGTAGAGCCGGACTGGCAACCCCTTCTGATCGAGGCGGCACTCTCCTTACTTTACTTCCTGTTCGCCCGCGTGGAGGCGAAGACCAGGCGTCTGGATTGATCGAGGGTGCCTTGCACGTGCCCGCGGTCGACAAGGTGCCGTTCTTGACGAAGGCCCAGCGGCAGCGGCGGCTGCAGCCTACGCGTTAAGCCGCCCCCATATGTTTGCCCGTCTCGCTTGTTCTTGCCTCTGCTGCGTATCCTGCCCCTTCCTGCTCCCTCTCCTACTCCCGCTCGTCCTGCCCCTCTCAGTGCTCAGCTCTGGTACTGGTGCTCCTCCTGCTTTGCTGCTCACGCTGTTTTCCGCCTGATCGGTCTGCTATTGGCCCTTGGTGGTCCTCCTGATGTTCTGGCTGGGCCTGCTCCTGTTCTCGATCCCGCTGCTGCTGCTGCTGGTGCTGCTGCTCCCGCGCCCGCTCCGGCTTTGGCCTGCGCTCTTAGCCCTGCGTGCGTCGCGCAGACAATGACGGGGACATTCTGTGAGTCCCCTTCCTGTCGGGGGAGGGGGGGGGGGCACTGCGGTACTGCGTTTTGCTTCGCTCATCGGGGGGTCACCCGCGGGGGCGCGAAGATAATCGTGCTTTGCGCGTCGCGGCCTGGGCTGGAGAGCTATCCTTTTCCAGGGAGGGGGTGCGGGGGTGCGAAGATTAGTGAAGTTTTGTGCATGCGCTGACTTCCTGAGTAAAGATTCGGCAAGACTTCGTAGGAGAAAGCATCTCCGCAAGCGCTCACCGTCGCTCGCCCTCCGCCATCGCCCACCAACTCCGCCCAATTCCGTCCCACCCTCCATCTCCATGGCTCCAGCGCCCGCAGGTACCCGACCTTGTCCGGCAGTTCGCCGACGAGCGGCCCCTCCGCCAGCAACAAGCGTATGGGGCGCCCTTCTGGCTCCAGGGACGAGGATGGGTTTCGCCCTGTGCGATTTTTGTCTGGTGCTTCTGGGCCATCTACTGGAGTGCTTGCGTCGGGCGAGTCTGCAGTGGCGTTCTGCGCAACCCCGCATGTGACCGACTTCGTAGATAAGGGTTCGGTTCGGTCGATGGTTGTGTGTTGTGTCGTTCCTGTGTCACTGCGCCCGTGCTGCTTGCGGGCTGTCGTTTTTAGGTCGTTTCGTTTTCGCTATCGGTTCGATCGGCTCTCGGCTGTGCTGTCGCCGTGGACGGCCCTGGATGCCCTGCCCAGCCCCAGGTAGATAGTCAAAACAACGGAAGCGAACGATTGTTTGACATCGGGCTTGGAGGGAGTTGGGGGGCATGACATATCGTCTCCGATGTCATTGTCGGCTTTTGTCCTGGATTGGGACCTGGTAGTACCAGTGTCTGGGCCGGAGTGGGTATTAGTGCCAGCTTTGCCATATGGATGAAAAGACAGCCCGAGACGAGGAGAGAAGGACGAGACAAGGTCCGTATGGCATTACGGTTCGAGCGCATTGGGGGAAAATGATCACCCATGGTAGCGTGAGCGGATGTCCCGCCGGCTCGGCCCAGCGCCCCGAAAGCGATTGCGAGCAGCGGATCCGGCCGAGGAGCCAGACAGAGTGCGGGTGGCGGAGGACGAGTTCGAGATGCGACACGATGAGGTGGAGGTGATTTGGACGTGGGCCAGCTTCCCCCGCTAGCTAGCCCGCCTGACATTCAAGAGACGGTGCTGGGCACATCTAGGACGACTGCTGATCGAAATCAAGCAGCAAGGTCGGGATGGTTGCAGTTTAAGACGTTCAGGCCCTCCGCCAAACCCCGGAACAGGTGCAAGCAGAACTCTGACAAGGAGAAGTGGAGGCAGACGCCGCAGGTAGAGCGGCGGGACCTGCCAAGGCAGCAACGATCGAGCGGGCCAACCGGCAGTGGCAGTTCCGCTAAACCCAGGACTCGAGAGGATGGCCGCAGAGACGAAGATGGTTGGGACATCAAATATGTTCAACGGAGCCAAGCCGCAGTTGCGAGACTAGTGGTGTTCGAGGCCTTCGCAGGAGCTGCGAACTCGAACACAGCTGCGGCAATGGCAAACGCAAAGAGATTAGCAGACCCAGCGATCACAGCCAATCTCGATCCCAACGTCGAGCAGCTCGCGAGGACACTCGGCTACTGAGGAGCCAGGCGCTCGACGTGGTGCTACATGCGGCAAGCTCGAAGGATTCGAGGCATGGCGACTACTACACCTACGATTCGATCCCCAGGCAGCGAGCACATGTGCAGGGCAGTTGACGACGGCACTTGCTTGGGACTGCAGTGGAGATATGATGGTCCAGCTCGAAGATCTCGAGCGAGAGGTCAGCTTGTGCGAGTTACTTCAGACGAGGCAGTCAGCGACGCGATCAGTATCGGAAATGCTCGTCGGCAGCTTGCTGAGTCGCCGCCGGGGCAGCACGTGAGCAGGATCACGGAGAGACTGAAAGAGTGGCCGAAGCATCGAGAAGAAATCCCAAGCGCGAGGCGTCCCCAGGCAGCAGCGGCAGCTGCCGAAAACGGAGTAGCGCCCGTGGACCTCTCGGCGTTCAACGGCGGTGGCAGAGGGAGTGGTCGATGCAACGTCTGCGGAGGTAAAGACCACGGCGAGATGAAGCGCTGGCATCGCAGTGGGGGTGGAACTGGACGCGTTCGAGGCAGCAAAGGTGACGACAAAGGCGGCAAGGGCACAGGGCGTGGAGGCGGCAAGACCCACATGTCTGGCATGGCGATGGCCGGCAAGTCAGGCAAGGAACCCCAGTGCTCCAACTGCCAGAACTACAACCACATTTCTCGTGGCTGCCCGCAGAAGAAGAACATCCACGCGTGCGAGCCCGAGCCAGAGCAGTCGGTCGCTGCGCGGGCTGCGGTTTGCGCTGCTCATGGTCGACGAGAAAGGCGTGGTCCAGAAGGCGTTTGACCTGATCGTGGATCATGGCCTGATGGACGACGAGTTGGTGCACGAGCTGAACAGGTTCGGCGCGGACACGCGCAGGGCCAACCGCAAGGTCGCGAAGGTTATCGATGCATGTGCGGCTACACCGGCGCTGCCAGAGGACGCGGCGACGACGCCGTCGCCGACACCAACGACGCCGACGCTGACGCCGGCGCCAGCGCCGCCGCCGACGACGACGGTGACGACGCCGACGTCGACGATTCAGACGGGTTAGACGGCGACGGCTTTTCACAGCAGAGTAGGCGTAGAGTACAGCGCTATTGAAGTACAGTAGAGGGTCGAGTACAATCGGTCAGAGTAGGGTGGGATACGATACGCCGCGCTCACTTCTATACCCCTGGGTGGTATACTCGCTCTTTCCTCATTCGTCTATCCTGTGGCACTTTTCCTTCTCATTTGTCCCCCCTTCCTTCTTCGACTCTTCGACTGTCCTGCATGTGCGGGCATGTGCGTTTATGCTGTCAAAGCTTTCCAGACTCTGCACGGGACTGTGCGCCGGAGTGTGTGCATGTGCGCGCATGCGCGGCCCTGGCGTTGCAGCTTTCGTAAAACCGCAGTTGGCATGTGCATGCGACTGTGCGGCATGTGCCTGTATGTGCGGCCTTTTCCGGACTTCAATTTCAATGTGAGCACTCTAGAAGTGATCGCTACAGAAATAAGGCCGGTGTAGGGTGACGTAGAGCAGGGCATGTAAGAGTAGAGTAGGGGGTGTAGATCAAATTGAAGTAAGGGAGGAGCCGTGCAGAGAAAAGTAGACGTGTTGAGTAGAACAGGAACAATGTAGAAAAGAGCAGTGTTGAACACAATCGAATAGGACTATGGAGCAACATTATCATATAGTATGCTGAGTGCGGTACGGTAGAGTAGGGTAGAGTAGATAGAGTAGGGGAGCGTACACCAGAGTAGAGAAAGGTAGAGTAGATTGGAGAAGGAGAAGAGTAAAGTCGAGCAAGGGACAGTCGGACTATAATAGGTTACGTTAGGGTACGGCCGGGTAGAACAGAGTCGGGTACAGCGCCGTAGGGCAAATAGTGCAGGATGGGCATAGTAAAGTCGACAGTAGTAGAGCAGAGATGAGTAGAGTACAGTACGGGCAGATTCGAATAGGAAGTACGTACATCATCGCAAGGCATTCCAGGGTACTGTATGGTAGAGTAGTGGAAAGTAGAAAAAGGGCAACATATAATCGAGCAGCGTGGGGGAGAGTAGAGTAGAGTACATGAGGGAAGGTCTAATAGAGTAAGAGCAAGGTGGAGTAGAGTGGAGTAGGTAGGAACGTCTAGTATAGTAAAACAGGGTAGAGTCGCGTAAAATACAGTCGGGCCCTCTTTGGACAGTGGGATTGCTATTTCGAACCGTAGTTGTGTTTTATCAGAAACGGCGCCAGGCGCGGGCGTTGGCGACAGGTGTGCCGCCGCCGCCGTTGACGCCGTTGTCGTCGTCACCGTCGCCGTCGCGGTCGTCGTCACCGTCGCGGTCGTCGTCGTCGTCGTCGTCGTCGTCGTCAGGCCGTCGTCGTCGTCGACGTCGTCGTCGTCGTCGTTGTATCTTTGTCGTCGTCGTCATCGTCGTCGTCGCGGTGGTCGACGCCAGCCCAGCGACGGTGGATCGCGTTCCTTCGGATGATGCGAAAAATGGCATGATAGCGAAGATGTATGACTTGAGGGAGAACGCTATGCTCTCGTGTTCCCATTGCGGAGCAGGTTGATCCCCTTTCGTACGATGCAGACCCAGCCATAAAATGGGCGCGGCTGTTGCATAGGACGCTGGGCATCGCAGTACAGGACGTTTCCAAAATATCAAACATGATATCATGTATTGCGGGTGTGAGATCGTCGAGGATGTGGTTATTGCTTGTTATCCGAACAACCTTTGGAACGCAATATATCAACAGTTCCGCCATCGCCCGATGGAGTTAGCAGAGGGTGACACAAAAAGTTTGAGCACGCCACGTTGTATACATCGGGGCACCCAGCTGCGAATTGCATATACCATCATAAGGAGCAGTTGCTACTTTCCTGCTGTTCGGTTGGCGGCAAGGTTGGGCTGGCTAGAGGAGTCATTGTCTATCTTGACTCCAAGCCTATATGGTGCATGCGTTGCTGTATCGCGACTTCTTTGTTTCGACGTGTCGTTCCGGAGGGAGCGTACGCAGTCCTGAATTTGGTCTTCTACCGTGAGAGTGTTCATATTGTGGTTGTTCAACCATTCGGTCGGCATCTTACATTGGCAACGCGATCAGGGGCGAATATGCAAACACACACGGTTCCCAAATTATCCGAGGAAGGATTAAAGATAGTTTTTCCCGGAAAGGGCATGGGCCCAGGGTTCTCTTTTAGTAGGTAAACCTGTCCCCCGGTGCCAACTTGAGGGAGGCCGGCGAATTTTTTCCCTGATAAATAACGAGGTCGAAGGAGGCCGGCGAATTAAAATTTGAGGATGTCTCGAGCGAAACGCTTGTTTTTCAGAATTTCTTGAGGATGTCTCGAGCGAAACGCTGGTTTTGCAGAGTTGAGGATGTCTCGAGCGAAACGCTTGCTCCGCAGAGTTTGCCGAGGATGTCTCGAGCGAAACGCTTGTTTTGCAGAGCCGACCGCGACGCGGAAAAGCGCCCCGCGCGAAGGAATTTCGATGATGTCTCGACTAATTCCTTTGTTTTTGTACGATTTCCTGGAATTTTGGCAGGATGTCTCGAGCGAAATGCACGACCCCACCCTAGCACGACCATACCCCAGCACGACCACACCCCAGCACGACCAGACCCCAGCACGACCCCACCCCAGCACGACCCCACCCCAGCACGACCATACCCCAGCACGACCACACCCCAGCACGACCACACCCCAGCACGACCACACCCCAGCACGACCCCACCCCAGCACGACACCCCAGCACGACCACACCCCAGCACGCACCCCAGCACGACCACACCCCAGCACGACCACACCCCAGCACGAGCACGACCACCCCAGCACGGCACGCCCCAGCACTCCCCAGCACGACCACACCCCAGCACGACCCCAGCTCCCCAGCACGACCACACCCCAGCACGACAGCACCCCAGCACGCACCCACACCCCAGCACGACCACACCCCAGCACGACCACACCCCAGCACGACCCCCACACCCCAGCACGATACCCCAGCACGACCACACCCCAGCACGACCCCACCCCAGCACGACCCCACCCCAGCAAGACCACACCCCAGCACGACCGCACCCCAGCACGACCTTCACCACAGCACGACCACACCCCAGCACGACCACGCCCCAGCACGACCACGCCCCAGCACGACCACGCCCCAGCACGACCACGCCCCAGCACGACCACGCCCCAGCACGACCACCCCCCAGCACGACCACCCCCCAGCACGACCACCCCCCAGCACGACCACACCCCAGCACGACCACTCCCCAGCACGACCACACCGCCTTGGTTGAGTGGTTGCCTGTCGTCGTGGAATGTTTCGTGGGGTGTCTCGTGGAATGTTTCGCGGGGTGTCTCGTGGAATGTTTCGTGAGGTGTCTCGTGGAATGTTTCGTGAGGTGTCTCGTGGGATGTTTCGTGAGGTGTCTCGTGGGATGTTTCGTGAGGTGTTGCCCAGTTGGGTATCGTGAAAACGTGTCCATGCTCCACATGTCTATACGTGTCATCATGCTCCACATGTCTATATCCCTTTCCGGGTTCGTGGGTCCATCATGTTTTTCCGGCGGGTGGTCTGAGGTAGATTTTTCCCGGAAAGGGCAAGAGCCCAGGGTTCTCTTTGTACTAGGTAAACCTGTCCCCCGGTGCCTGCTTGAAGGAGGCCGGCGAATTTTTTCCCTGATAAATAACGAGCCGGCGAATTGCCGGCGAATTTTTTCCCTGGTAAATAACGAGCCGGCGAATTGCCGGCGAATTTTTTCCATGATAAATAACGAGCCGGCGAATTAAAATTTGAGGATGTCTCGAGCGGAACGCTTGTTTTTCAGAAAATGGTGAGGATGTCTCGAGCGAAACGCTTGTTTTGTGTTATAGAATTCTGAGGACCACCTCCCAGCACGACCACTCCCCCAGCACGACCACCCCCCAGCACGACCACCCCCCAGCACGACCACACCCCAGCACGACCACTCCCCAGCACGACCACACCCAGCACGACCCCACCCCAGCACGACCCCACCCAAGCACGACCCCACCCCAGCACGACCACACCCCAGCACGACCACACCCCAGCA